TGTGCAGTTGTGTTGTTGAAGACAACATGCCATGTTGAGCACTGGGGCCACTGCATATGTGATCTTTCCGTCAATGGGTTTTGCAAGCTTTTTGTCAGTGTCAGTAGATAAACCTCCACAATCCTAACCGCCACAAAAAGCAGCGTGTGAACTTATGTTCACACACAGGATTCTGGCTCAGCTTCCAAAAATAATGGCATGTGTGAGCAGAGGGGAGAACTGTTCAGATGTTTGATGTGAGGCCGACTTGGCCTTCGCCTGCAGTAAAAATAAATCATAGTTGCTCTTAAACACGTGGAAGGAGCTGTACATAATTTAGGGGCTAATCTCACCTTGTCAATTCCCTGGCTCACAGCTCTTGAGGGCACCAGCATGTAGCTTTTGGTCTTCCAGCAGACATTTACCATGAAAAGGTTTTGCAGGGTGATGTCTTTAACATAGACTCAGTGTAACTTTGCAATCCAACAGTGTGTTAATGAGTTGGTGCTGTCTGTGTAGGTGCTTCTTTTCATCATCCTTTTCTGTTACCTCATGTGGTGTTCTTTGAAAAAAACCACACAAAAACAAAATGAAAAGTCAAAAGAAGGTGGGAATATATTTACTTTCAAATATTACTGTTTTTCTAGGGAGTTTCAGAAGATGTTCTGAAATGTGTTTGAAAATGCCTGTAGAAAATTAATTCCCATGAGATGCATTTATGTGACAGGGAAGAGAAAAAGTGCTGTGATATAATCCTCCAGTTGTATTAGGTTTGTGGGGTTTTATGCTGCTTCTTTCAAGGCATGCCTAAACCTTCTTATTTGCTATGTAAATACAACTTGGGCCATCTTTCAGTAGAAGAAGAAATTATAAAAGGGACGCTGTAAGCAAAGGATGTGGTTGCCAAATATGAAAAGGGCAAAACTACAGGGAGGGAGGAAAGGGAGTGACCTCCAGGTTTTGTGCTTCTCACAGCTTCCCAACTCCTTCAGTGCTCCATTTGCCTTCATGCAGCAGCAACATGCGTAAATAATGGAGTATGGACGTGCTCAAGAGAACCCTGGGATTGCTGCTCTTGAGCTGCTGGCTTAGTTGTACCCCACTTGGTCCAGCCCTGCTTTAGGTGCAGCACAGGGAGCAGGCAGGGCCTTCTGGCTGCCAGCACCCCATCCCATCTCCTTGAGTGTCAGCCTCAGGAATGCAGAACTCGCCAGAGAGTGAAGTCATCGTGGTTTGCTTGGACCTTGAGCGTGGAACTTGGAGTGCAGCCTCTCCTTCCAATTACGTGAGCAAATGCTGGCTCGTAGCACATAGCAGCAGGCTGAACCTTTGGATTGTGACCCCAAGGGGACAGCTTGATGGATGTCTCCTGTCATCCCTTACCCTGCCAGAGCCAGTGAGCCTCACCCTGGAAATCCTCTCTGTAATTTCTTCTCAAGGGGCACCTAAGTTATCTTCATTCATGGGACAGAAAGTGCATGATGTCTCTTATAAAGTATTATTGAGTACACCAGGTCATTGGCTGGAGACTGAGGTGCCAAAATGTAAAAAAAAAAAAAAAAAAAGAGAAAAAAAGGTAGCAAATAGCCTTTCTTGCAATCAAAGCTGCTTTTGTCATAGGAAAACACTAGTCAGAGTCATTTGAGAGAGCAGTCTCCTGTGTATGGGAGCACCAGGAAGAGGTGAGCAGAGCATCTAACCACATTGTGGATATATGGTATGTGGTGGATTTCCTCATGGCAAATACAAAGTGCAGGTCACTTGTCATGTCACTACTTCAGTAATGGGGAAGAGAGAAATGGGGAAAAGACAGTCCATTATTTATATGAGATTTTTTCCCTATGAGCAAATCCCTATCCTGATTTTCCTTCCACCAAGCAAAAATCTGCCTCCACAAGCCTGAGCTCTATGTGGAGGTTGGGAAATAAAAGAGAGAAGACAAAAACCTAAAAATTTCTATTTTCTTGCTAGTCAAATGTACCCTGAGTAGAGAGAGGCTCCTCTGGGAGTTGCAATTGCTCCCTTGTGGACACTGGAAATGTTTTGGTGTTTGTTTTTTTTTTTTATGACTGCAGCTTTAATATGAATGATGGCAAAACTTAGTCTTCTGCTATTACTGCCAACTTGCTAGATAGAGCAGGGAAGAAAAAAGTGAAGTATCACTTTGGGGTGTTTCTGGGGAAGAAATGTTTCCACAGCCATAAATTGCTTTCTTGGGAGCAGTGAAAATTCCTATCCCAGTGCTTCGGGGAATTAAAGTCAGCAAAGTCTTGGATTCATAAGGAATAAAAACTGAGTCTTATCAAAAAACTTCAAGGTCTTGATATGGCAAGGCATGGTAAAAACAAACAGTGAAAATAAAATAATTAAGGTTATACATTTCTAGTTGTAGTAATGTTGGTGTTTTTTAAAGGTGCTTGTCTTGGAGCAAAAATTGTCTTGTGAAACATTATCTGAAGTATCCCTCTGTTGAAGCACTGCTGCAGTGCTGCTTTCTCCCAAGTTAAAAATTCACAGTTTATTGGCAACCTGACTTAATCTGGAGGTTTGATCTCTGTTCTGTGCTGTAGGATTTAGGTGCTTTTACATAGGTTGCAGTCTCTTCATGATTTTGCTTGGATTTAAGAATCATTTATATGCAAATGGTCCTGATCCCCTGTTCTTTTCCTCCTTAGCAATTAACTTGGTTTTTGAAACACACCGCTGTTTCAAAAATTGAGCAAAATTGGCAAGTGGTGCTTCCTGGTGAAAAACTGGGTGGTGTTAGCATGGTGATCATGATTGCTGGAGCTCATTACCAAAATGACTCTGAATAATCAAACCTTTGAACTCAGTTCAGTGGTATCCCATCCATCTCACTCGGAGAGCAACTTGGAGTTAGCTCTTTCATGTTGTCTTACAACTTGTCCCATGTAAATGGTGGATGTGTTTATTTTCAAAAGCAGCAAGAAAGCCCAGTGGAACAAGAAAAAAGTTGGAAGAACAAGCCCTCAAAGAGATTTTGACACTGGTGCCAGGGGCTTTATGAAAGATAAAACAGCTAATTTTTTTATGGCTGAAGGAAAATGCCATTAAATCCCTTGTGCCTATCTGCTACAGTAAACTTGCCAGAGCTATTCCAAAAACAGCATGCCGTGGGATATTCAGTGATTTTCAATGAAAGCTAGGCTTAAAACTGCAGATCTCCTCTGTGTGGATCAAGGGGAGCTCCAGGGTGCTCAGTATATGTTTCTATATGCTCACACATGACTGTAAGAATTATTTTAAACAAGGTTTGCTAGGTTTCACTTTGAAACTGCATCCACTGTATCTACTCATTTCCTTAGTGCATGGCATAGGTAGTTTTGCAGAATGAAAATAACTTGTTATTGCAAGAGTAAATGGGAAAAATTTTGCAGGTTGCTATCTACCAGGCTAATCTATATTATGAAGAAATAAAACATACTTGTGTTAAGTCCTGCTGCAGTAAAAATGTAATATTTGCTGAAATTCTCTACAAATGTTGGTCCTCTCTGTAACATCAGGGAGAAATAATTGCTTGATGACCTAGTGCAGCTTTAAGCAGAAATTGGAAGAAATCTGTCAGGGTCTGCATGTTTTTGCATTGCATTTTTCGGAGTTCATTCAAACTCAGGGCTCATGGTGAAAGGGAGGTGGCAGGAGAAGGCTGGAAAATCTGATCACTGAGTGTTGGAGACCTGTTTTCAGATTAGTGTCCTGGTGCTCAGGTGGATTAGTGTAGACACTCTGTTTCCTGTTGCTGGACATGGAGCAACAGTGATTGAAGGCTTTTTAGATGCTGGAAGAGGTGGGATGGTAGTGAGGTGTTACAGCATGGAAATTAGAGTGAGAATGGATCAAGACAAGACTTTTCATATTGCTTTCTTACCTGCATTTCACAGTAAGCCCCAGTGTTTTCTCAGGCAGGGATTGGGGGAGCACTGGTGAATATCTGGCATCTAACTGGAGTAAAAGCTTTATGCTGGGAGAAGCTAGAGGGTGCTTATCTTTGAGAGTGGTAAAGGAGATGGGAAAAACAAGCTTTTCCATGAGCTGTGTGTGACATGGCATGGCAGGGGTGAGGTGGGAGTAGCTGGGGGCAGCCTGCTTCAGTTTCCCCACCTGATATTTCAGGTCAAGCCCTAGACAGATCCCTGTGAGCTCCAGTCTGTGCAAGCACCTTAGTCTGAATAAGAGGTTAAATAACGTAATTGTAAGGTGGGCATCCCTCAATATTCCCCACACACTCAGTACTTGGTGCAGCTATTGCAGGATGTACAGTGGGTTAATGCACTTCTAAAGCATGTTCCCCATCGCTTGCTGCTTGACTGCTTATTGCAGGTTTTCAATGAATTAGCCCACTGAGCATTAAAGTCTCGAGGATCTGACTGAGCTGACATGCTTTTTTGCTTCTGTCACATGGCTTGCAGATCAAGGGGCCAGGCATTGCTCTTGGGATGGTGCAGCAAAGCAGGAATCTCAGAGAAAATTGATGGCTTGCTCCAGAGTGCAGCCTTGTGTTCATCTCTCTGTACACTTTTGATTTTGGGAAACGATTTGTGGTTTGGTTTTGGGTTTTGTTGTTTTTTGTAGCTCTTTTTTTTTTTTTTTATTACACCATGGAAAACGTTTTTCTGTCTAAACCAGCTGGGTCTTCAGCAACATTTAACAATTAAAAGCACTTCTCCGCTAGGTATTCCCTAAAAGATGGAAAATAAGATTTTTGCATTAAAATGCCAGGAAGAAAAATGGTGAGGGCATAAAGTGCTGCTTTATTTTCATCAGATGTTAGTGCTTTTGGTGAATCAGTTGTGCTCCAGTGATCATGACCCCCTTGTGTGCTTCTCTCACTGTTTGCTCCAGCTTCCTCTCTAAAAGGCGGCTTATGCAGAAAGCTTTGCCTTAGTTGTAGCTCCAATTACACTCCACAGGGCTGTGGAGTCATCAGAGGGGACATCCTCAGGACCTAGCTTTGAACCCTGTTCCCTTCCTCTTTCTAACCAGCTCTGCCTTTGTTTCAGGAGTATCAACGTCGGGGGCTCTGGGCCCAGGGAGCACCGCTGCCAGCACCACGCCGCGGGTGGCCACCAGCACCACTGGCCGCACCACCACCACGTCGGCCTCAGGCAGGAGGAACAGGAGCACCAGCACGCCGTCCCCCATGGCTGACGTCCCCGACGAAATGACCACGCACCTGCCGCCCGCCTCCTCCCAGCTGCCGCCCGCCGGGGCGGAGAGCTGCGACCCTGTGGAAGCCCGTGACATTATGTGGTCCCGGACGCGGCAGGGCCAGCTGGCGAAGCAGCCGTGTCCCTTGGGCTCCATAGGTGAGTCAAGGGGTGGGAGGACACAGCAGGCTGTCTTCACTTCCATCACACCTTGTCAATATTCAACCAGTGCTAAAAACCTTGTGGGGCTGTGCTTGATGTGCTGGCAGCTTCCAGAAGTTGTGTATGATGTGTCTTACCTGGTTTTGGCTGTGTTTGTAGCCCCTGGGCTCGCTGACTGATGTGTTGGTGGCTAATTCTTTGCTTGTTTTGCTGAGAGAGGGGACAGGGGAGGCAATCAACAAAACTTGTACTTTGAAGCTCCTGAACTAGCATGAGTGATTTTTTTAAACTGCAGCCAGCATCCAGTATGATCAGCTGGGAAAGTGGGCGGAGGAAACAAAGCCAAATCTTTTAAAGTGGTTTACTGCTTATTGGATTTTGCTCCTTTTCTTCTGCTCTTCCCGCAATTGTTTTGTTGAAAAATGTTGCTTTTGGAAATTTTCTGTTCAATTTGAAACATAATCGCATTGAGAATGAGTTTTGGCATTTGATTCAGTTTGCTGTGTTTTAACAAATGCAGTTTTCTAAAAATAGTTATTTTTCATGCTAGTCTTGGTGTCCAGCCCCAAAAGTTCTCTTTCAAAGAAGAAATCTTAAAAGTGGAGGAAATTACCTGAAAATGAGGGCTGAAGGGATCTGACTCGCAGAGGAGAGACTGTTAATTTTCCACTCCTGGAGAGCCATTCACACCTGTGTATATGAGTACTGATTCAGTCTGGAATTTGGTGAGGACAGACTGATAAAATATATGTTAAAGTATGAGGAGCATAGAAAGGTATCAAGGGTAAGAATAAGTAAAGAACATTTTTGTTGTCTTTCCCAGCCCTACTTGGTCAAATTAATGCAAAAAGTATTATGTGATTCCCAGAAAGGGGAAAGGATATTCTGAACCGAAGCTGTAAAAAGGAAAAGATGGAAAAGGAAAATGAAAGCTGGATGCAGGGAGTCCTTTCCTAAACACAAGAGCTAAGGGCTGGATGAAAATAACTAAGGAAAATATAATAGCCCAAGTTATGGATAGGGGATGGCCAATAAGCCTTTCCCATGTCTAATTTCAGTGATTCACACAACTTGTTAAAAGCTGCGATTCAATAGCAGTTATGTACTTCTCTTTGTCTGAAACGGTCTGAGGCATTTTGCTGTCTTTTCCAGCAGAGATTGGGCAGCTCTTCCCGAATGAAACTCTCCTCTAAAGTCCCTCTTGACAGCTGGGGGCAGACAGTAAACCCCAGCAATATATCCTAGTGTTTGTAGCATTCAAAGTTTTGTGTGTTTCCACCCAAATGTTGTAATGATGATTCAGAGCCATAAAGTCTTCATAAAGCAGCAAGGAAGATGAGGCACAGGGTGTGATCCCAAATCACCAGTGGTGGGGCAGAGCACTCAAGGTGCTGGATCTCATTGTTTGAGATCTACTTCTGATTTCTTAGTACCTGGCAGATTTCCTGCAAGTCCTCTGTCTGTAATTGCTGTTTGCCAAATTAGAAATTAAATTCCTGCACAACATCATGGGTCTTTTATGTCTTAGGGCCCTTAAAAGACCAAGATGATGGGAAACTAGGACACTGAGATGACTCAGAAGTGTCCTACTCAAGACCTGAGCATTAATAAGCTCCCAGAAGCCTTTGACACGGGGTGCTGGGGACAAAATGCAACCAGTCACACTGAACACAGCAACTTTCCTATTACAGGTGTTGCCACTTTCCGGTGTCTCGCGCCTGACGGTATCTGGGAACCCCAAGGACCTGATCTTAGCAACTGCTCTTCACCCTGGATCAACCACATCACTCAAAAGGTAAAACCCTTCCCATGTGTTGACCACTCTGAGTCTGCACAGTGACCTTGCTCAGCTCCCTGGTTTTCTCACACAAGGAACCCAAAAGGATCAACAGTCACAAATAAAGCATGAACCAAGCATAGCAGCCAAGAATTGCAAGGAGAAAGCAAGTGTCTCATGGAAATTAAGGCAGAGAGGGTAAGGGAAGGCAAAGGAGAGGGACTGAAGAGTGGAATTAAACTAGAGTGAAAGACATTTCTTGTTCATGGCAAGAAAAGGAAGAAGAGGGAGGAGGAAGTGGGTGGCCATGTGGAAAGTACTGAGTTGTTGAAAAAGGAAACACCCTTTCATGCATCCTCAAGGATTTTTTCATGTCACGCAAGCACAGGATAAACCCCATAGTTAAGAAATCTCTAGCAAAGAAAGGCAGGTTTAATGTGAAATGTTTGGTTTGTGCCTCTGACTTTCTGTTTTTATCTTCTGCCCAAATGATAAAAAAACTGGTGGAATAGAAAACAATGCTGCAGTAATGCTTATCTTTTGACTCTTAAGTCCCTTGATGAATGTTTTCTAGCACTTCATCATTTATCAGTGTTAAAAGTGCATTAACATGTGACAATAGAAGTTCAAGACAAGCAGAGCTTATTTGGTAGCAATATGTTGAGCATTTTTGTTATTAATGCACAATGGTGCTTTCAGCTGATTTCATTGCAAACAGAAACCAGATGTGTGTTTACGCCATGGAGTCTGTGGTCTGAATCTTTATTATAGCAATTTGTGGGGATTTATTCACTCTTTAGCCAGAGTGAGCAAGTTCTGGCATTGCAAGTGAGCTGTGCTGCTGCACAGTAGTGACCCAGAACTCCCAAAGAGACACTGGTCAGTGGGATAGGGTCACCCCACAGACAAGACTCTTGGACAGTCTCCTCTCTGCTCCCCATCTAAACTGAGACCTAATAATCTCTGAATTGCTGGCATCGGTCAACCTTATCTTGCTTCATCTGTGCTTACACCCATCCCTCCACAAAGGAAAACATCAATTAATGTGGGGCTGCTGTGACATGGCACAGCCACTACAAAGCCCGTGGTCCTTCTGTCCCTCTCCTGCCGTACACCCACCAAGCTGATGAACACAGGCTGCCTCTGCTGGCATTAGCAGCTGTGTGCAGCTCTTTGTTTTATGACCTACATACTTACCCTGGAGGGGTTAATATTACTTACTCCAGCCATAATTCACCCAGGCAGCTGGGAGACCTCTTGCTGCTTGGTGAAGATGACTAGGCCGTTAGCCATTAGCAGAGGGAAATAATAGCCTGCACTGATGAAATCTCCATCAAGGTTAGGCTTATTTTATTTGAAACCCAAGCTATCATTTGCGTAACAAATGGGCCCCATTTAATTTGTTATGTGCTTTCAAAGCAGGCTAAAATTGAACAGGCAAGTTTTCAGAAATGCCCAGCAGGTTACAACTGGGACTAGATTTTTTTTTTTTTCTTTCAGGAGGAATTTAGTTATGTTCAGTGTTGAATACCTTCTACCAGTTAGTAGAAAGGACTTGGAGAATCTATGAGATGACCCTGGATCTTAGTTGTTTGCCTAAATGGGAATTCATTGGTATCTTGAGATATGTGACCCAATCTCAATGACAGTTGTAACAAAACTCCAAGACTTTTCAGGAGTGACTTATGAGGGGAAAACCTTGCAAGGCTCACCTAGGGGTTTGTGTTGGGGTTGCAATCATTGAAACATTTATATTGAAAAAAACCTCTAAGATCATTGAGTCCAACCATTCACCCAGCACTGCCACATCCACCGCTTATCCATGTCCCTAAGTGCCATGTGTACATGTCTATTAAATCCCTCCACGAATAATGATTCAACCATGTCCCTGGGCAGTCTGTTCCAATGCTTGGCCACTCTCTGTGAAGAAACTTTTACTAATACCTGATATAAACCTTCCCTGATTCAACCTCAGGTGGTTTCTTCTTGTCCTATCATTTCTTACCAAGAGAAGACTGACACTCACCTTGCTACAACCTCCTTTCAAGTAGTTGTAAAGAGGGATAAGGTCTCCCTGAGCCTCCTTTTCTCCAGGCTAAACACCCTCAGCTGCCTGAGCAGCTCCTCATAAGCCTTGTGCTCCAGACCCTTCCCCAGCTCTGTTACCCTTCTCTGGACTCACTGCAGCACCTCAATGTCCCACTTGTAGTGAGGGGCCCAGAATTGGACACAGCACTCAAGGTGTGGCCTCACAGTGCTGAGTACCGAGGGACAATCCCTGCCCTGACCCTGCTGACCACATCCTGGGCTGACCCAGGCCAGGATGCCATTGGCCTTCTTGGCAACCTGGGCACACAGCTGGCTCATGTTTTATCCAGTTACCCTTTCCCAGCCTGGTAGCACTACATGGGGCTGTTGTGACCCAAGGGCAGGACCTGCACTTGTCCTTATTGAGCCTCATACCATTGGCCTTGGCCCATCGATCCAGCCTGTCCAGATCCTGCACATGCCATGTGAGGGCACTCAGCATAATCTGCTCCATGATATTGCATCACATTTTCAATTTCTAGTCCAGTAGGACACCCCCAGTTAGCCAGGACTGCTGATAAATGATGGAAAGTGGCTCAGTAAGCTCTTCTGCCAAGTACAAGTTCCCTCAGTACCATTGTTTGATCTCATCCAGCCCCATAGACCTGTGGATGTGTACATGGTATATAAGGTCTGGTTTTTTTTCTGGATTGTGGGGGTTTTCTTCTGTTCCTCATCCCTGTCTTCCAGCTCTGGATGCTGGGTACCATGAGCACAACTGGTCTTGCTGTTAAAGACTGAGCCAAAGAAGGCATTAATTGGCACCTCAACCATTTCCTTGTTCTTTGTCACTGTATTTCCCCAATATCCATTTTTATTGTCTTTTATGGCAGCAGACAGGCAAAGTTCTAGTTGAGTTTTAGCCCTGCTAATTTTGTCCCTATATTACCTCACAGCATGCTTGTAGTCCCCCTTTGTTACCTGCCCTTTTTCCAGAGGGCCATAAGTTCTCCTTATTTTCTTATTCCATCCAAAGTTATCTGTTCAGCCAGGTCAGTCTTATTCCCCACCAGCTCATCTTTTGGCACATGGGTATGTCCTGCCTTTAAGATTCAGTAGGATCCTTACCATAAATACAGTTTTAAATTACTTATGAAATAACCAATAGCCATTTGGTTTCTCTGCCCAAGCAAGAGGCTTGAAAATCATCACTACACTTAAAGATGGAGACTGATTCATCCATAAATTATGCACTGGTTTCCAACATCCCTGCTGCAGATGAGATGCTTCCCAAAGCTTGTAGATTTGCTCCAGCGCCTCTCTGAAGGTGGTAAAGGAGCCTTCCTCCTCCAAGTCAAGCCACCTTCTCTTCTTGCTGCTGTGGGGACAGCTAGAGGGAGCAGTAAGCCAGCTGTGCTGCGAGGACAGGGCTGGTTGCACCCTGCAGCTCAGCTCTCCTGCATCCCCAGCTCTCCTGGTCACTTAGCCCACTGCATCTGCAGCTGCAGCACAGCTGACAAAATGGGTAAAAATACTTCTTTGTCAGCCAGAGTTCATACCTCCTCAGCATGTCTTCATCCTTAATCTGCTTTGTCTCCCAAAAATCTGACATCTGCTGGATCCAAACTGCTCAGGAAGAACGGTGATGGGTCCCCTGGAGGGATTTCAGCCAAGCCAGAAAGGATGGTAGGGAAATGCTGTGCTTGCTTTCATATCTGTGTAGTGAAGTAAGAATGATTACTTACTTCTTCTCTTTCTCCTGCTGTGCTCAGACTGTAGATTGGGTGTTTGCCTGCTTGCATCGTGGTATTAGGTTTTACAGCCATTTCCTAGCTTCCATTAGAGTTATTGTGCTTGATGGAAGATCAGAACAAATGTTCTCCTCAGCAATTCATTGGCCTCCTGATATTTACTTTAACTTTATTGTTGGTGCCTACCATACCCTCGTAACGGAGCGGGTGAATGAACTTGCCAGCGCAATTGAATTATGCACTGCTACCTGGGTTATTTCTAGAGTCAAGCAGTAACAGGAGGCAAAAAGGTCAGCTTTGGATACATTGCATCATCCTGATCATGAGGTCACACCTTCAGTCTCAGCCTATTTGCTTTGCCTCTTGCTTTCATCAATGCCATCCTTAGCACAGTGTGTGACTTGCCTGGAGACATCTCTTCCTTGTTGCAGCTTTCAGCTGTGGGTGCTGCCTGGGAGGACAGGCATTGCTATGCTCAGCTTTAAACATCTGGAAGAGAGGAGGCCTCTTTTGTAGCAGAACAGAAAAATTTGTGCCCTTCATGAATGCACAAAAAGCCTCAATCTGTAAATCTAAAGCCTGTGCCACCCATGCCCTCCTGAGTGGCCTGGATCATGCACTCCCAAAGAGCCAGGTGAACCGTAGGATTCGTAGCACCTTCCTGAGTTCCTGTAGATCTGCTTGGGTAGATCTACAGGGAGATTGAGGTTTTGTGGAGGACATCCTCACGTGTCATGTCCAGGTCTGAGGGTGCAGTTGCAGTCCTGATGATGGCATGATAAAATCCTCCATCCAAGTTGCTTTTGGCAGTCTGTTTTCAGAGTACCATCATCAATTGGATGGAGCAGATGCCACAGAAGGTGGCTTATTAAAGGGTCATTAAATGCAGTTTAAGTTGGTTGAATACCATGGTTTCAAAGCCACCTTTTCAGTGTTCTCTGGCTCTGCTGTATTCTGTGGAGAGCATTGTCTCTTCTCCCAGACAGCTGGCCAAAGGACAAGAGGACACAAACTGTGCCAGGGGAGGTTTAGGTTTTTTCATCAGGAGGCATTTCTTCGTAGAAAGGGTTATTAGGCTCTGGACTGGACTTCCCACAGAAATGGTGGAGTCACTGTTTCTGGAGGTATTTAAGGAAAGGCTGGATGTGGTACTCAGTGCCACGGTCTAGCTGACATTTTGGTGTTTGGTCATAGGTTCGACTTGGTCATTTTAGAGGATTTTTCCTACTTAAATGATTCTGTGATTCAGAAATAAAGGAAAGGATTGTAGATATGCCCTGACTCTTTTCTGTGAATGCACACACATATGTTGAAATTCCTGACAGGGAAGGAAAAATGCCATGAAAGCTTTGCAGTGTCAGAAGTTAGCCCACAGTCCCTCTTACAGCCTTGTTACATGACTGCTGGCAGCTAATGGTGGCTGGTGAAACCTGTTAGATGTTTGTTCCTCCAGAAAAAAGCATCAATTTTATGGTCTTTCCAGCTGATCAGTCCATCTGTATGTTACTGTTTTTAAAAATCCTGGTTCAGTCTTTCATGCCATCTTTTTATTTTTTATATCAGTTTGCCTCTTCAGAAGGTTGCAGGAAAATAATTTTGCCTATATGACTACTGGTGTTTTAGTTCATTTGCTCCCTTCTCAGCATATTTCTTATTTCTTCTGAATTTTCCTCCCTAAATACTTTTTTTTTTTGAAATTTCTCTACTTTTTATTCTACTGTCCTCTTCTGCAGTGGGGTTTCTTCTGAGAAAGGTAGGGCTGAAACAGCGAGCAGCACTGCAGATGGATCTTTCTTTGTCTTTCCAAATAAAACTCCCTGTTTCTGTTTGCTGACATATATGAAACAGGCAGGAGAACATGTCCTCTCCAAAAACTATTATTTCACAGTCTTTTCAGTCATAAGAACATGCAAGATAGTGGCACAAACTTGGAAAATGTTAGCAGAGTGTTACATAGAGGGATTTCAAGTGTGCCAATAATAATTTGTAAATATGGCCTGAATCGTGTCTTCCCAAATGGAAGAGGGGAGCAAATTCTTTGGCAGACGTATTAAAACTATGTTTTTTGTTGGCATTATTGGCAAGAAACATGTTTTCACTCCTTCAAATTAGCATTCCAAGACTGATTTTAATCAGTTTGTAAAAGGTAAGAAAAAACAGGCCAAAAAAACACAGAAACTAAAAATTTGGTTTCAAATTTGGTTTGAACAGAATGTTTTATTTTATCCCAGAATCCTATTTAGTTTTTAAATTTAATTTTTTAATAATCAAGGTAGAAAATGTTAAAAACTAGTCTCTTATCAGGGAGAGATATATTAATTTTTATTCCCTTTATTGTTCTTAGGCCTCACAGTAGAAAGGTCAGATACTTACACATTTTTCCCCTACTGCTTACTTGCCTCTCAATATCAGCCTCAGCCATGTAGAACTTCTAGGGGTTGTTCCTGTATTCATATGTAGCTGTGTCAGTGTTTGGGTTAAACAGTATTACATGTTTTGGAAGAAATAACATAAAGAGCTCATCTTTGATGTGGCAATAATGAAGAGAACAATGTGGAGAAGTAATTTATAGAAAGGAAGTAAGTTAGTAATGCATCCTCTTGGGTAGCAGTAAGCTTTGCTGAGCATTATTTAGAATTAACCAAAAAAAAAAAAAAAAAAAAAAAAAAAAAAAAAAAAAAAAAAAAAAAAAAAAAAAAAAAGGAATCAGTCCTGTTGCTGTAAGAGACCAGATACTTATCTTAGCCCTGGAATATTCAGCCAGCATTTGGGACTCAGGAGAAGTTGGGTTTGACAGCACTGCATAGAAGACACTTCAATTTCAGTGGAAAAATCTCAAAATAATTGGGGAAATCAACATTAATGTTTCACACAGCCATCATTCTAGACATCCCTCTCATGCACATGGCCAGAGTGGAAAGAGTGGCTCAGCACTGCCTCAGTGACTTGTAGCTGCACATTCTGTGTGACTGTGTTTAGATGTGGAATTGTCTGGGCTAGGATGTAGTTTCATTACCTGCCAGCCAAAAACATTTTCCCAGAAGAATGGCCCATATGTGTTTTCAGGAAACCTGGGTGTATAAGATAACTTTGGGTAGATACCTCTATGTTCCAGGAGTTCACAGACTCTGAGCTTTAGTCTGCCTTTTTCTTGGGCATTTCTTCCATTGCTGCCTATTTTTTGTGTTGTTTATTTGGCCACAGCGTAATTCCTCAGACTTGCAGTTTTTAGGGTCAGTCCAAGAGGAAAAGAAAAGGGTTAATTAGTGACAGCTTTTATTGCTTTTGCAGACAGATAGGAACAGCAGCAGCCTGCAGGGAAAGAAAACTCTTGTGTTTGCCTTCGTAGCAGCTGAGCTGCATTTTCTCTGAGTGTACCAGTTTGCACAGGTGTGTGGTCCAAGGGAAAATGTGAAATCAAATATTGGGTAGCAGGATTTTTTTGTTTTACTGTGGTATATCTGTAAAAAATACCTTTACTTCCTACAGTTTTCTGCAGAGTTTATGCAAACACAATGTGTCATGATACTTGCTAAGCATCAGCAATGAACTGCAGGGAAATGCTGAAATTGATTTATGTAAAAGGAATTTGATGCAGTCATTCTTTCAAGTTCTGAGAGCTAACAGCAGAGGTCAAAATTCAGCCTCTGTGCTGATGCGTGGCTTCCTTCAGCTGCTTAGGAGAGCAGGCAGCTGTAAGAATAGGATCTGGTTTCTATGGCATTAGTCTTCTGTGTAACAAGAAAGAAATAATTCAGTTTTTGAATATATCTTACCATTGCTCTGATGGGAAGACCAACACCTTATCTCCTTTTTTTATCTTCTCTGTATCATCATATGCGTTAATTCTCTGAAGACTAACATGAACATCTTGAGTTAGATTTCATTAAATCAGATTGGCTTTTGCTGTCAAATTGATGGAAGTAAGTTATTCATTTATAACTCAGCTAATTGATTTACAGAGAGGTAGAAGCTCAGCCTATAATCTTTCCCTGGAATCTTGCTTTTATAATAAGCACCAGAAAGTGAGGGAACAAGAGAAATATCTGATTTCTAGCTGTTAGTAGATAAAACAATTGAAAATTCATATGAAGAGCACAGCAGAGTTTGCCATTGAGCCTGACAGAGAAGTGGGAGCTTCATTTATGTGTCATCCTGTATAATTTCTCCTTGTCCCAGGCATATTCCACATAAATTTGCATTCCAGATCGCAGACTGGTAGATAATGAATAAAAGACCAGCAACCTGCAGTGGTATTTTTATAGTGGGCTGCTCATGAAAAGGAGATGGGGCCAGCTGCCCTGTCCCAGATCCACGTGGCACAGAAGAGGAAAGGAGTACCAGAGAAGGAGAGCAAAGCAGAGCAAGAAAGTGGGAAAAGCACAGAGAAAAAGTGAGAGTTTCCCAAATAATTACACAGTGAATTTCCCTGCAGGTTATTTGTGAGTTTTGTGGCTCAGCTAGATGATACAAGTCTTTTAGTAGAAGATTCAGCCAACTGACCTACTGGCTTTTCCCTTCTAGTGGACCTCTGCTTGAGCCTTTTGGTCTAGAGTGTTTACATGTGCTGAGAGACACTAGCCTCATTATCAGTGGCAAGTGATGCTTAGTGATAAATGCGCACCTGATTATCAAATCAATAAGATGGAAATAGTGAACTTTTTGCTCTGGTTTATCTGTGTTATGTCATCTATTTTTGCTCCTCTTACAAGGAACGCTTCTGTGCAGGAGTTCTAACAAAAATCATCTCTTCGCTATCACATAAAATCTGGAAATCAAAACCTGCTTTTTCTTAACAGGAGAGGCTACTTGTAATGGTTTGTTTTTATCAAGTGGCATAGTAAGCCAATGGGACAAGCTAATTAAAGCCCTCATTAGCATGGACATCCCATGGAAAAGTGAGAAGAAAAGTGAGAAGAAATTGTTGAAGCTATCATGGTTGACTAGAAAAAACATATTCCAAAAACTATTAATAATCAAACTACGAAGACTTTTGTAGTTGACTTCCTGAGGAATGCTTCCATTCCTTTTTCCTTCTCCATAAGTTTTCTTCTTCTTCTTGAGGAGAGTTGACCCGGTTAACGATGCGGGGTTGGAAGGCACTGGAGTGACGTGTCGCCAGCAGCCGGGGACAACCTTTCTTTCCCTCTGCTTTCTGCCCCGCAGATGAGGTCGGGGGAGATGGCTGCCAACATCGCACGGGAGCTGGCGGAACACACCAGGAACCACCTGTACGCCGGGGACATCGCCTACTCCGTGTCCGCCATGGTCCAGCTCGTCAACCTGCTGGACGTGCAGCTCCGGAACCTGACTCCCGGCGGGAAGGACAGCGCCGCGCGCAGCTTAAATAAGGTGAGTGCCACGGGGCCTTTTATAGCCTGTCACTTAGCCCCAGAAGCACTTAACTGCACTACAACAGTGTGGTTTCTGTGCCCACAGTTTAGGAAGAATTATTAGTCCTTTTGTCATTTCTAGAAGTAAGTGGAATTGCTACGTAGTGCTAAAGATGCTAGGAGTTTCCAGCTGTGGGAGAAAACATGAGCTGTGGACTCTGTAAGAACACATTTAAAGCTCAGGATTTCCTTAGTGAAAAGCCCTCTTCATCACTGAATCTCATGTAAACACATGGGGTAGGACTTTCCTAGGATTCTGACAGTGCATTTTGTGGACCTGGTTGTCAGGACAAAGAGCAGCTGGACCCTGGTGGCTATGAGCACGTGTTGTATTGGCCACCCAGTTAAAAAAAGACACAGAATTTTGTTCTCAGCTGCATACCAGGCTCTGACAGTCCCGTTGTTCATGTAAGCATGAATAGAACTTGGTTCCAAGATTATATGAAGAATAAGTGATCCCAGATAAACCTGAAATTTCTTAGGTGTTTTATGAAGAAAAATGTTTTTTAGAGATGTATCATGTTCTTTTTTCTTGTAAGTTATTATTATAGACTGATGGTGTTTCAAATGCAAAGGGCTTCAGGATTTTTTGAGATTTCAGTTGCATGGGAGCTGAACTCCTGTATCTCATGTGCTTTGCATGTGCTGTGAATTGGATTATCCTCATGCTTTTAATTAGTGCTGCTTCCAGCCATTTTTATAACAATGTAGGTTATAATTGTATTAACTGTTACATCAGCATAACATTATTTGTTGTAATCAGACCATGGTTCTTTGTTGAAATGATGGTGGTGCCTGACAATACTAGGTAAAGCCAGGAATTAATGTCACCTACTAACAGGTTTCATGGTTGTAGTCTGCTTGTTCTTCTGAGTGTGTCCCAACCACACCCAACATTTTGTGAATTCTGCTTTGCAAGCACATATTTTTCATCTCTGTTTTATCTCACCTTATGATATATGTTTTAATTACATGAAATGGGGTTGTATCATGGGGGCAGGAATGAGTTACTGAGGGGAGGGGAAGACTGGGCAAGGCAGGAGGGGCTCAGCTGTCACTTCTGGGGTCCCTACTGCAGGTTTCTTCCCCCTGCCATCAGCTTTGCACAAGCAACACATACAAATCAATTTTATTCCACATTAAAATTCTGGACCACGTGAAGTCCTGCAAAACAGCGATGCGACTCAGTGATCCAAATGACAGGCTCAGTAATTTACTTGCTTTCATTTCCCACTTAATTCTTTAGAAGAGCAACTGCTCTGTGTTCATTTAAGAATGCATGAATTCAACTTGGAAGTAGTATTGGGCAAACAAAAGGCATCAGCGTTACTGCTCCATTTTCCCCTTCACTGATCAAGAGTATTAAAAAAAAAAAGGGAAAAAAGTAATTTGCAAAGAATTTTGTTTAGTGCTGTTTAGTCAGAAAGAAGAAATAAAATAAGCACTAGCCATTAAATATCCTTTTAATCATTAAAGGAAATGTGCTGTGGATCCAAAAGTAATCACCTGTGCTGTTTTGTACTGGTGGGGTTTTCTTACAAGCTGACGTACAATGAATTGAAATAAACTGGCATAATCAGAATTTTTTTAAGCCATCATCTTTTAGGAACCACTTTTCTGTCACTGAAAGCTTTATGCTTTCCACTGGATCAGGCTTAATTAAGGTGATAATTGTTCCATTTCAGACAGGGAAGACCCCTGAGTGGATAGCTCCGTAATTTTCAGCAAGGCTTTCTTTGATCTCCATTTGTTTCTGTAAAGTCTTCATACTGGCCAGATTTACCCAGGGGAAGATTTCTACTGTTACAAATGGATTAATTAGAAATTTAAATTACGTATTGCATGATACTTGGGTTTTTTTGTTTATTTTGTTTATTTCAGAGCCCTAAAACTCTCGAGGACAAATTTGGCTCTCAGCTGTACTAATGAGATTGCACTGCTGTGTGTTGAGAGCACAAGTTGTCCTGAATCTCTGTTGATGTGCAATTTCCAACCAGGCACATCAGCAGAAACAAACCCAGCCAAGCCAGTGGCTCTGAGCAGCCTGGTTTTGTGAGTTTTGATTGCAGTGATGCAGAACTCACCAATTCCAGCTCCCTGCTGCAGACTGCCTGCCAAGCCCCAGGTCTGTCAGGATGGGTTTATACAGGTCCAGGCTGTATCGGGATGCAGTCCTGTACAAGTCTTGTTTCCTGGGATTGGTCCTGCTCATCTGAAGCTTGGTTGTATTTCACTGTGGTGTCAGCACTGTCTGACTGAAGAGACCATGCTCCTTTTATACAAATAACCATCAGCCTCATCCTTTTTAGCCTTGTTTGACATGGAAATGTCATGTGACAATGATCTCCAAGCTTTAAGGAAAACATCATCTCTTGAGTATCTCTATTAGACTTCAGAGTCTTCTACCATCTAACAGCTGCTCTTGCAAAGTTGCCAGTCTGTGCTTCACTTCACTGAAGAAGGACTAACCCACATTTCTAGAGCCAGTCCTTCCAGTTTTCCACTGCTGACTAACACACTCACTCCTTTAGTTTGGTTGGTTTTACAGGAGCTGTTTAAGAGAGAAATTAGGGGTTTACCACAGGCATTTTCTTCATTTTTTTCCCTTGTTCTGTCACTAACTTGTTTTTTCTATTCCGTCTTTAATCTGCTCTCTTTATGGACTCAGCTTCAGAAAAGGGAGCGCTCTTGCAGGGCCTATGTCCAGGTATTTCTTGTGTTTTTAATACACATGTCCAGTTATTTGACTGAATGACTGTGAAGTGAGTCATGTCTCTGTCAATAATCTGATTATTACCACCTTTGTGGCAGCAAGTTCTAAGGTTAAGGTTACAGGATAATAATGTAATTTTTTTACCTCACCAACTTGCCCCATTTCTCTCAGACTTGACAAAAATTTGGGACAAAATCTCTGAACCAAAAAGTGAAAAAAAACCACAAGAGAGATCTGACAAGTTTCATCTGGCCATCTGAAAGAGCAGGACAGTATGGAGATGTGCAAGTAAAGAATTCAAAACTGCTGCTCACAGAGGTGTCTCCAAACCAACTGGATTTTGCTTACAGCACGCCATTCTGCCACCTGCATTTCCTTAGTTTTCCTTCTTCCCCTTTCACACTTCTAAATTCAGAGCAATTCAAAGTGGCAGCACTCGGCATGAGGGAGGGGGTAGAATTGTAATGAAATGCAGAGTGTCTCACAGAGAGATGCCTGGAAGGAGCAGAGTGCTGCAAACAATGCATAGGGTGATGAACATAACATCCCATGAAGTTCACCCAGGTCTGGCCTGACTTTCATAGGCTTATGTTGTGTTTGATGTGAACAAAGTCAAGCCCCAGCATTCTGGAAAGATCACACTTGTGAGCTTTTCAGGAGCGGGACCTTGGGTTATCTTATTAATCCTGTCACCTTGCCTTATAGCATTTGCTCCAGTGGTTTTTTTATATAAATCTGTTTGTATACTGTAGGTCAGTTAATGCTGTTCTAAGAAATGTGAATGTTTTACCTTCTAATCTGTCTTGTGCTTGTAAATGTTGATATTGTTCTTATGGGTGCTTGATCGTTATTTATATGTATATGTGTAACAGGCATAAATGAACTCTATGTTTCTGGAGCGGACTGTCTGTACCTGCATTTTCCTGAAAAATTCCACTTCCTTCAGTCTGTACTGACTTTATTTTGTGAGCAGATAATTCATTTAGAAAATGGGATTATATGGTTTGGAATTTTAGGGTGTGAGAAAAAAAAAAAAGTTCCACTCTGTTCTGGTAGGCTGTCTTCCCTTTGGAAAATGTCATGAGAGAAAGTCACCTTTTCCCTTCCATATACATTAATGGATAGAGATGAGTTATGGAGGTACACATCCCTTGTCTGGGATCCCAGAGAAAGCAACTAGCTGGCATTTGAAGGAATTTAGGAAAGTTTGCAGTGCAGTGCTCACTCCCAAGCTACCTACCTTGTGTACTGCTACCACTGGAAATATGGTGAGACTTCCTTTACTCTGGGCTGCACAGTCCTGCTGGGGACACTGGGTGCTACCTGATCCATAGTTGTCCTTTCCCCTGGCTGCACAGATGTTCTCCACGGAGTCACACTCCTACTGTTGTGTCTTTTTTCAAACAGTAGCAATTGGTGAGTTTAATATACCTGACAGAAAGCTTGGCCTTGATAAAGCCTGAATACTCTGCAGAAACTTCAGCTTACCTTTAATTTCAAGGACTCCTTTCCTTTCACTTGGAAAGATTGCTTGCATGTTTAAGCATTAATCATGCACCTACTTCTTCAGTAGATAAAAACTGGTGAAAGCTCATTGCTTGAGCTGTTATGTATGGATATGGACAAATCTGGTATATATATTGAAGAGGACAGTCCTGTAAAAGAGGGCTTGAAGAATGAATTAGATTACCTAATTGAACCTTTCCAGCTTTGCTTTGTACTATATACAGGTAAAGTAAAGTATCTTGACATATTTTCATACAGTATGCTTCCACTTGGAAAATTGTGTGGCTAAAGTCATAAAAAAATCTAGTGAGGGAGAGGTTGTCTGTAATAGCAATTAGATGTGACTGCACATAGTCCTGTTACAGACTACTCATCCTTTACCAGGAAGTGAAATGGCTGGGCTGGCTGAGGGAATTTAGCAGAGATTTTCCAACAAATCTTAAGTGGTGACCCCCTGGGCTCTGTAAAGTCAATGGAGCATGGGAAGTCACTGGGACATGTGGCAGAAAAACAGAGTGTTCAACTTTGCTGACGTGATCTCCTCATGCTGATCCCGTTACTGTGAAGAGCATCCCTGGCTGAAATTTGGCTCAGAGGGCTGGAAATGTACCTTCAATTCTGTGTTCCCTAGACAAAGGAAGATGCAGTATGAAGTTTATGCGAGAGACGTCCAGGAACTGTGAATATCAAAAGTGCTTTTGAGGAAAGGTGTTTTTTGGAAGGCGGGTGGTGACCTGAGAAGATAATAATTGCTAAAATCAGTCTTACTGTTTTCTTTGGGCTAACCAGTTTAAATATCCATGACACAACCCCTGTAGCAATTGGTGCATAAAGTCTTCTTAAGCCCAAAATAAATTACTATAAATAAATATGCAAAGTGGGTAGTGAAATTTTGCAAGTTATTCAAGCATAAAACTGAGAATGCATTATCAGATTATCACCTCATCTCTTTGGGTACCTTTAAAACAAACATGGATTTAATTTGTTCACTTTCACAGTATTTGTTGAGTTAAAAGCTCAGGGATTTCATTGACTAGAGATAGAGGTTAAAAATGCTGCTTCTTTAGTTTCACATGTGGTAAATGATCTTTTTTTGTGTCAAAAATCCAGCAAGAACCAACCCAGCAGGTGGCATGATAAATGCATATTAATATAATGACTGGACAGTTGCCGGAAGATTTTTCAGTCATGGTGATAACTAAGAAACTGCTAAGTGGGTTTTAATTTGTGATACTAATTAATAGTCAGCTGAGACTGAGCTGGACAAGGTGTAAATGAAGGTGGCAGAGTGGCCTCAGGAAGGTACTCTATTAGCAAAGAGAGTGGCCTTCTAGAGAGCAGAGATCTACATCTCCTATGCTCTCCTTTCTGAAGATTTTGCACTCTGTTCTGGAAAGGAGATGGAAAAGTCATCATGTGGGAGAATGAGTCACAATGGGTGACACATTTCATTTGGCATAGCTTGGTTTGGTGCCTGGTCTGTGATGTAAGCTGGTATGAATTTTCTTCAATTTTTTTCAGAATTTATGTTTGTTCATTTTCAAAAGCTTTTCTCCTTCACCTGAAGCACTGGAGTTGTAGAAAACAGGAATCAGTTTCTTTTTGGGGATTGTGAAACTGGGTTTGGTGTCACAGATTTCTTCCATGCCCCTCAGCAAGTGTCATGCATTCAGTATTTTTCAGCTCTCTAACATAAAATGCCATGGATCCAATTCTCCTCTTCTCTAGGAACAGAGGTGGGGTAGTAAAAGGAAATAAAAAGGCTAAGTACTCACATAATGTAGTAAGGGAGGCTGTATTAAAAAAAAAAAACTTAAACGTGGGGGGAAAATGAGAGAATTTTGCTGATTTAGTATATGGAAACACAGATTTTATTTTTAAAGGCTCATACCACACCAATGGTTGCAGTCTTTTTATCATGTTCTTGAATCTGATTGCAAAGTCTGAGGTCACCTGCTTGCTTCACTTGGATTTGTGGGCTGCAGCTCTGGGGCATCAGGAGGCCAGTAAATTTCCCTGTAGTGCCAAACCAGAGGCATCTTCCCATGTGAAATTGCATGCTGCATTTGGGATGAGGCTCTTGGAAGACAAAAACTTCACCCATTCTTTGGCTCCCATTCTTTTGGTTTATTTTGTAAAGTCAGTATGAGTGGTTGTACAGCTGGTGGCTGGTGAATACTGCAGAGAGTGTGACTAGCAGCTTTGTGGAAGGGGTGGAAGCAGGCAGCAGCAGGTTGCTTTTATAGCATCTTCCTCATCTCTTGGAGTTTGCTGCTCTTGGTTCCTGCCATCTTCTGAGCTGCCCTGTAAATCAACTTGCCTGTTGCTGTGCGAGATCCGCTCCAGGCGGGCACCTGCGGGAGCACGGCGGGAGCAGGGGAGAGGCGGCGGCCATATTTCCCCTTCGGCTCTGCGAGGCTCAGTTCTAGTGCGGGAACAGACAAAATGGTGACACGGGGCTCGGGTGCAAACATGTGTTTATTGTGGAAGCGTACTCCCGAGACACCGGGGCACCGACCGAGGGTCGGTTATATGCCGTGCCGGGGGCGGGGGGGAACCTCAGCCTCAGCCAATGGGATGGGAGGCAGGGGACAGGGACAGGGAAACCCTGGGGACAGCGATGGGAAAGGCGGGAGGGCGGGGGGGTAGGGATGGACCGCGTGGTGAGGGGAAAGGCGGGGGGGCAGGGGAAGACCGGACCGCGTGGTGCGGGGGAGTGATAAGGGAACAAAGGATCGGGATAAGGGACCATGGGGGGAGGGGGAATGGGGTTGTAGAAAAAAATTACAAATCCCGCGCTTGCCCTCTTTTGTAGTTCTGCACTGGTCTGGATAGCAAATGGCAAAGATTATGGAGGTGCCACCTGCTCCATGGTAGTTACAAGAACTTCTGGGTGCAGGTGTCATCAGAGCCACACTTGAAGCTGGTGCTGAGAGGATGGCAGGCTTCTGGTAGCAGACAGTGGCAGAAGGTTGCAGAGTTGTCATTCTGGTTCTCCTGGAAGTTTTCTTAACACTTGTTGGAAACATGGTCTGTTTGAATTGCTGCACTAAGCAAAAATTGAAAGGCTTTCCTCAGAGGATTCAAGGCATTAAGTTTAGACCTAAGCAGAAGAGACTTTTTTTTTTCCTTCTTTGCTAACCTAGTAGTTCTCATCAGATAAAAGGTGCATCTGGGACTTAGCCAGTACTGTTTAAAGTGGATTAATTCTGTTTGTCCTACTTCTCTCTTGCTTGCATGATTGGTCACAGCTTCCATGAAGACCAAACTAAAGAAACTTGCAGCTCTGAGAGGGAGCACAAATTGAATTATGCTGTGTTTGCTTGTGTTCTTGCTGTCCCTCTGACAAGAAAGACTCTAACCTCCATTTATATAAAAAAGAGGCAAATTAATGAAGGTTTTCAAATTCCTTGTTTGGTCACTTAATTGGCTGTATGACAAAGAGCTCTGCAGTGTGTGTCAAACAAGTCTGAGAGTTCTCTGATGAT